ATACAAGTATATCCTGTTACATACGTTGCCATGGCGACGGGTATACTCTGTCACGACAATGGTGGACGTACAAGTGGAGACGACCGTGGGAGCACTCCCCAGTATTTCGAAACGTTGTCGCCGTCATAATAAATTCTTCAACACCGTAATTACGTTTGTTTACGGTACATAAAAATTCAAATATAATCTCGGTTATTACCCATTCGCATTACCCATACCACACACACAGGTGTACGACATAATCACCCGAACTTTACATCATTCCCTGAGGCGAATGACTTGTTTATCTAAACTTAGTCGGGTTCTGGTCTCGAGATCTCAGCGGCAAAGGGACATAACTACTACGCGTGTGAATGAGTAGTACAGGTGGGCGTGCCTGCCAGCGTGACACATCAGGACCTGTCAGTTTGAAATGTTGTTAATTGCAATTAAGATTGTAATGACGATGTAATTGTTGTGTTTGATAGTTATTTATGCGTAAATAATAGTTTTCGTTAATATTTTGATTAGGTATTGTGAGTTCACTTAAATATTAGTTTCTATTTGGGGAGAAAGGTGTGTATTTCCTGAAATTGTCATTTAGAGTCTGACAGCGTGACGTATGACCATTGTAGAAAGGTTTAAACTTGCCCGACGGCGCACACTCAGACCAGAAAATATGTTATTGCATGGCACTGTAATTTAATTCAAATATTTTCTTTACGTCACGATTTTAATTTTGTCAGTTGTAAACTATGTTGACACATTCAGTTCTGTTAGTAAAACTCATCGCTCACGAATTTTATTGTACGTAAGGTTTTTGACACGCACATGAAAATATTTTTTGGAAAAAATAGGATTATGAATATACATATAAGAATCATGAATATACATGCACTCATCAACACGAGGGAAAAGTGGTGTGTGTGAGAGGTGTGTGTTTGGGTTGGGGTGTCTGTCTGTCTGTCTGTCTGTCTGTCTGTCTCTCTGTCTGTCTGTCTGTGTGTCTGTCTGTCAGATATATGTACAAAAATGACCACAAAATATGCCTTTTTCAGGAAACAGACACTTTTTTAAATCTGGACAAGTGACCCACTTTCTTGGTTGATGTAAATGACCCTTTACAGAGGAAATGTCACAAAATAAACTCGTTTTCTAACTTTGAAGGGCGTGTGTCAGAAATAGGCGACCCTTCCAAGACTGATGAAACCAAAATCTTGAAACAAACCAGGAACCCCCCGAAGAATGGTCAATTTTTGTTGCCAGGACTGTATGCCACATGTTTCAGCTGAGACCAACAAAAGAGCCCAAATTGGAAAATTCTGTATCTGCTATAATAATCTGTGCAAAAATAATAATCAGATACCTTCATCTTCCAAATATATCCTGATGAACGTTGCCAATAGCACTTGTAAAAATCATAAATATGGAAAGGGTTCTATCGCCTATATTTCCATTTCCATTATGTTGTCATGCATTAATATATTTATCATATTCTCATCTCTACACCTTATCAATGCTCTATTTTTGTACCAGGTCCCAAGTGGGCGTTTTTGTACAATAAAAATTCTTGATTCTTGTGTTATGAATTATACGAGCCATTTCGTAATATGTTGGTCACAGATGATGCCAAGTTGTACGGAGGTGTACAGACAGGATCCTACATTTCTACTTTAACTAGCGAACAAACATGGATTGTGCATTTCTACCTTAACAAGCGAACAAACATGGATTGTACATTTCTACTTTAACAAGCGAACAAACATGGATCGTACATTTCTACTTTAACAAACGAACAAACATGGATTGTACATTTCTACTTTAATCAGCGAACCTGGATCGTACATTTCTACTTTAACTAACGAACAAACATGGATCGTACATTTCTACTTTAACTAACGAACAAACATGGATCGTACATTTCTACTTTAACTATCAAACAAACATGGATCGTACATTTCTACTTTAACTAACGAACAAACATGGATCGTACATTTCTACTTTAACAAGCGAACAAACATGGGTCGTACATTTCTACTTTAACTAACGAACAAACATGGATCGTACATTTCTACTTTAACTAACGAACAAACATGGATTGTACATTTCTACTTTAACTAACGAACAAACATGGATTGTACATTTCTACTTTAACTAACGAACAAACATGGATCGTACATTTCTACTTTAATCAGCGAACATGGATCTCACATTTCTACTTTAATCAGCGAACATGGATCGTACATTTCTACATTTATCAGTGAATGTAGATTGTACATTTCTACTTTAATCAGCGAACATGGATCGTACATTTCTACATTTATCAGTGAATTTAGATTGTACATTTCTACTTTAATCAGCGAACATGGATCGTACATTTCTACTTCTATCAGCGAACAAACATGGATCGTACAGATTCGCCCTGATGATCTGTAGGTTTGTCACCCAAGTGGTTAACGTCAATGACCAGCATGTCTTCCGGCTTCCCTCCCACATCCAACTGATGGTAAAACGGAACAGCCGTTCAAGGCGCAGTTACACCTCCCTCCCTCCCTCCCTCCCTCCCTCCCTCCCTCCCTCCTTCCTTCCCTCTCTCTCCCTCACTCACTCACAAATAATACCTGTATCTGGAAAATGTACACATGTACATTTTTATTTTATTTTTTCCAGACGGTGTCTTCTCTTATTGCCCACAAAGCTATCAAAACATCTTCATGTTTCACTGTATGCAAGGACGAAATGAAACATTCGGAAGTCCGCCCTGACGTTACGTCACACGTGACATATAAACCCGAATTTTTATATTACTTTTGCGTCTAATTTTGAAACAGAAAATGGACATTATTCCATTCCGTGTTCATTAGTGTCATCGATACTTTCTATACAAATGATCACAAAGTCTTTTAAAACATGGCTGACAAACACTATTGTCTCTTTGAATGCAGGGTTGTTGATGAACGTATTTTCCGCCCTCGTTCAATAATGTCGCCAGTATGTCCAAGGATGAGACACCCCTTACAGTCTCCAACTAACAGCCAAAGTAGAATAGTCAAAGTAGAATAGTTAAAGTATCCCCTTAAGGCAACAAACAAAGAGAATGGATGTCGGTATCTCTTACGACTCGTAAACTATAATTACCAACATGTGTTTTTCCTCACACTTGAATGAATAACCGCAATTACTGTCATCGCTTGGAGACACTACCCAACACGATGTCCGTGTATGTACAGTTACCCTGGGGCTGGGGTTGTGGTGGGGGAGCGTCCCCTCCACCCCTGCTAACACTCAGATACATGTGTTTGGTCACCATATACAATGGCCAACCGGACAAAGCCCATACATTCCCTACAGACATAGGTCATCAGTTGATGCGGGTCCGGTCTGGTAATCCTACCATCGTGTCCGGATCTTACTGGTTTCCGTTTCCGGAAGCATATTTATGTAAATACTCAACAACAAAAGTAGCATGTTATTAATCATGAAATATTTTTAGAATCTTACCAAATACAAGACTTGTATTGGGCAAACGTTCCATGCAGAAACAGTTACAATATTGAAAAAAATATATATAACATATACATAATAAGTCAAGAAAACAATACAAAACACCAACATTGAATATTATAACATAACTGTGATATAATTATTACGTGTTATTTTATAACTGTTATAATATAATTATGTGTTATAATATAACACAAAAGTAGTTGAAGATTTCAAGCGTTCTTGTGAACATAGATCCGATAGCGTTTCTAAAGCTATTTTTTTCTTAGTTTAAATTGTATTCTAAATTTTAAATGTGTGTCATCTTTACGGTTTCAGTGAGATGTATGGTTAATTTTTTTAACAAAAGGGATGTACAGCACAAAGAAAGCTCAACTTTCTTTTTTAAATATTATAATATTTTCGTCATCGTTATCAATGTCATCACCTTCACCCTGTCTAAGAGGCGACTAACGGGATCGGGCTGTCAGGCTTGCTGACTTATTGATGCATGTCATCGTGTCCAAATTGCGTGGATCGATGCTCATGATATCAATCACTGGATTTTCTGGTCCAGACTCCATTATCACAGACCGCCGTCATATAGCTGGAATATTTCCGCGGCGTTTATCAACAAACAAACCATGTCAGTACCTTCATCTATTGATAAAATCCAACTTCTATATTTATTCAGCGTGTTAAATCGGTCGAAAGTCACTAGAAGTACATTTGGAAACAAAAGCCGTAACCACAGCAACCACATGCTGTTCACGGTCTCTGAAAAACAAAATGACCTTCGAATTTAATCAGTACCACCGGAGTTCCTGCCTTACTTATGTCTTATCTTTTCCCCCACGCATTCCATTCACTCTTGTCACTTCCTCTGCTGTCGCCGAGCCAGTATTCAGCAGGGACATTTCAATGTTGACATTAAAGAGCTTTGTTTATACTTTGTTACACGTGTGACGCGCTGAGACGGCCGCGTCAGGGCTAGCCTTGCTCCAAGGCTGTACTGAAAGAAAAGTCCATAGATGTGTAGTGATTCTGTCCTCCTAGTATGCAAGTCTAGATATGTGGAAGGACCTCAGTCTTATATATTGCCAACCTGTTTTTATTATTAACATAATCTAGAAATTATGATTTAAGCTTATAATTATTGCCTTAGAGACTTGTGCAAGTCTACGGAGGGCCTGCAAGCTCGGTCGTATGTTTTTATTTTAACGATTACTTTTATGGTTTTAGGGTTAACAGTAAACGGAAATTCTACCGACGACAGATTCCAGCAACTTTCCTGACTGATGAGACGTCAGAATAGATCAGTTGTTAGACTTGCACTCAAAATACAGAGTCTGTGGCTAATGTCAAAGTTCATGTGAGGATACGTGTTCCTACAAACATATATGGATGGCCGTGAACTTTCTGTGTGTACGCTTCTTGATGGTATTCGTGAATTACATTTGGAGCGGAGGATGGAGATGAGGAAAAACAAATTTGGTGTGTAGCTTATAGAATTGTTTTGGGTCTTTTGTAAATTCGAAATGATTGGTACCGTTAGGTCTCATAATCGCCACCCTACCATCACCGTCACCGTCATCGACGTCAAAACAGCATCTGCCACCATCACCGTCATCAGTACAATTTCTACTACCCTCACTGTCACCGTCATTAACACAACATCTACTACCGTCACCGTCATCAACATAACATCTACTACCATCCCCGTCATTAACTCAACATCTACTACCATCACCGTCATTAACTCAACATCTACTACCGTCACCGTCATCAACACAACATCTACCACCGTCATTAACACAACATCTACTACCGTCACCGTCATCAAAACAACATCCACTACCATCACCGTCGTCAACACAACATCTACTACCTTCACCGTCGTCAACACAACATCTACTACCTTCACCGTCGTCAACACAACATCCACTACCATCACCGTCGTCAACACAACATCTACTACCTTCACCGTCGTCAACACAACATCTACTACCATCACTGTCGTCAACACAACATCTGCTAACATCAACGTCACCGTCGTCAACACATTTACTGCCATCACTGTAACCGTCATCACCATAACATCTACTGCCATCACCGTCACCGTCATCGTCGTGAACACAACATCTACTACCATCACTGTCACCGTTGTCAACACAACATCAACTACCATCACCGTCACCAACACAACATCTACTACCATCACCTTCACCGTCATCAACACAACCTCTACTACCATCACCGCCGTGAACACAACATCTACTACCATCACTGTCACCGTTGTCAACACAACATCTACTACCATCACCGTCACCGTCATCAACACAACCTCTACTACCATCACCGTCACCGTCATCAACACAACCTCTACTACCATCACCGTCACCGTCGTCAACACAACCTCTACTACCATCATCGTCACCGTCGTCAACACAACATCTACTACCATCACCGTCACCGTCGTCAACACAACATCTACTACCATCACCGTCACCGTCGTCAACACAACATCTACTACCATCACCGTCACCGTCGTCAATGCAACCTCTACTACTATTATACGAAACCTCCATCAATACAACTATTCTACTACCATCAGGCGACCTTCGCGTCAAAACTCAGCTACCGTTTTCGACTCTTTTCAATCTTATTGACCGTATGATCCGAATAAATGCCATTTATTAGTTACATAAGTATTACTTTTATAATGTATAATGTAATTGTTGATTATATCGTTGCCTCTACATCCTTGTACTTTAAATCCTTGTACTCTAAAAATAGTACAAGTTAGTTGGCAAAATAAATCCTGTTTTGAAAACGCGTCTGCAGATAATTAATCAGCTGGCATCTCTTCCCGGAACCTATCCGTGAATCTGTTATCTAAATTCGTCACAGTTTGTAACACGTAGAAACATATCACATTCCGAGGAAATATACCTGCGATTAGCATCACCCTTGTCAATCAATGAACAATCAGCGAAATACACCCCGTCAAAATGTATCACCTTGTCGTGACACTTAATCAATAGCACCCTCTCGTTACCCTGGACATTTTACAGCTAGTACCAAGCAAGTGATTAGTGTCATCGCCACACAGGCGTGTCCCCACCCCCACTCTCAGGCCCGGGGGTAGGGGCGCGGTGGGGGGACAGGTGAGAGAAAGGGGAGACAATGGAAAGCAAAGTGTTTCACCTGCTGAATACCGACACACCTGTTGTAAGATGGTTGTTTAATGCGCAGTGGAATTGGGATGTTTTCTTGGAAGGGTTGTAGGGGTGGGTAGAAATCTGGTTGCCGGTTAATGGGGTATGGTGGAGTGGGTGTTCGAGGTAGTGTCCAATAGAGACTCATAAAAACATCGAAACAATTATGCGTCTGAAAACGTTTTTTTTCTTCAGAAAATGAATCCAAATGTTTGATGCCAAGTAACTCTGTAATTAATATGAATTGAAGCTTATTATTTGAGTTTATGTGGTCCTAAGATACTGTAGTTTTAAAAAATAACAAGAAGTCAAAATGTGATTTTTCACCCATAATTAGGTCCCTTATTTAATGGTTGGTCACAAATATTATCATCCTTACTTATCATTTTTGTATTTTCGAGTGGGTGTTCGAGGATGGTGTCTAAAAGAGACTCATCTGAACAAATATCATCATGAATTATTTTATTTTTTTAATAATTCATATGAATATCAACATACGGAAGTACATAGACACAACGAACGTTATTGAAACACGCTTGCACTATCAGCGTATTTACTTTCTGAACATTGACAAGGAAGAGGTTTGTGTGTTTAGATATAGGACGTACACATAGATGTTGTGTGCATCATTAAATACGTTCGTCACAATATGACCTGTGGTGACCACGTGTTGGTCGGTAGGAGGAAGCATCATCTATCAGCGTCATGTTCGACAAAAGTACGCAATATAAGGGTGGGTATCGACTTCCGCCCCTCTGTTTTCAGGGTATCGAATCTCTAGACCGCCGGCTCATTTACACAGAATACTCGTCACTAGGAACTACATATTTATTAACAGTTTGATTTTTGAAAAATTGATAAAGAGTTATTTATGATCAATATTTTGATTATATTATAAATATTTATATTGATGTTGTTTATCCCTTAACTGCGTTCTTACTGTGAAACATTGGTTTGGTTTGGTGGCTGGGTTCTTTGTGTTTTGGGGATTGGGTGGCGGTATTGACTTGGTAGATTTACTTGAGGGGCTGTGTGTTGTTTGTTATTTTTTCATGTGTTGGTAGCGTTCTGGTGTTGGTAATAATGGTAGTGTTCTAATGTTGGTAGTGTTCTAATATTGTCAGTGTCCTAGTATTGGTAGTGTTCTAGTGTTGGTAGTGTTCTAGTGTTGGTAGTGTTCTAGTGTTGGTAGTGTTCTAATGCTGGTAGTGTTCTAATGTTGGTAGTGTTGGAAGTGTTGGTAGTGTTCTAGTATTGGTAGTGTTCTAGTGTTGGTAGTGTCTTAGTATTGGTAGTGTTCTAATGTTGGTAATGTTCTAGTGTTGGTAGTGTTCTAGTGTTGGTAGTGTTCTAATGTTGGTAGGTAATGTTGTTATTTTGGTAGTGTTCTAATGTTGGTAGGTAGTGTTCTAGTGTTGGAAGTATTCTATTCTTGGTAATGTTATGGTGTTGGTAGTATTCTATTCTTGGTAATGTTCTAGTGTTGGTAGTATTCTATTCTTGGTAATGTTCTAGTGTTGGTAGTGTTCTTGTGTTGGTAATGTTCTAGCGTTGGTAGTGTTGGTAATGTTGGTAATGTCCGAGTATTGGTAGTGTCCTAGTATTGGTAGTGTTCTAATGTTGGTAGCGTCCTAGTGTCGGTAGTGAAGGTACTGCTGGTAGTGTTCTAATGTAGGTAGCGCCCTAGTGTTGGTAGTGAAGGTACTGCTGGTAGTGTTCTAATGCAGGTAGCGCCCTAGTGTCGGTAGTGAAGGTACTGCTGGTAGTGTTCTAATGTAGGTAGCGCCCTAGTGTCGGTAGTGAAGGTACTGCTGGTAGTGTTCTAATGTAGGTAGCGCCCTAGTGTCGGTAGTGAAGGTACTGCTGGTAGTGTTCTAATGTAGGTAGCGCCCTAGTGTTGGTAGTGTTGATGGGTGTAGTGGAGTTATTTGTTTCTGGAAGTTGTTTGTGTTGTTTTGTTTATTTTGACTTCATTTGTGAGAGGGTTGGGAAGTGGCTTATAATGACATCCAGATGTTTAAGATAAAAGTCTTTACATAGATTAAAATTTAAAGCTTAAGGAAGTATTTGGATTAGAAACATCTTACCCTATATACTTTTGTTGGTTAACGCCGCACTCAGCAATATTTCAGCTGTATGACGGCGGTCTGAATATAATCAAGTGATTGACATTAAGAGCATCGATTCACGCAATTGAGAATGATGACAGGCGTCAATCAAGTCAGCGAGCGCCCAGCCGGATCCGCCTCTTACGACATGCACAGAGTACTGGGGACCTATATTCTAACCCGGAATCCCCACGGGGAGACATGCATGGGGTACTGGGGACCTATATTCTAACCCGCAATCCCCACGGGGAGACAAGCATGGGGTACTGGGGACGTATATTCTAACCCGGAATCCCCACGGGGAGACAAGCATGGGGTACTGGGGACGTATATTCTAACCCGGAATCCCCACGGGGAGACAAGCATAGGGTACTGGGGACCTATATTCTAACCCAGAATCCCCACGGGGAGACATGCACAGAGTACTGGGGACCTATATTCTAACCCGGAATCCCCACGGGGAGACATGCATGGGGTACTGGGGACCTATATTCTAACCCGCAATCCCCACGGGGAGACAAGCATGGGGTACTGGGGACGTATATTCTAACCCGGAATCCCCACGGGGAGACAAGCATGGGGTACTGGGGACGTATATTCTAACCCGGAATCCCCACGGGAAGACAAGCATAGGGTACTGGGGACCTATATTCTAACCCAGAATCCCCACGGGGAGACATGCATGGGGTACTGGGGACCTATATTCGAACCCGGAATCCCCACGGGAAGACAAGCATAGGGTACTGGGGACCTATATTCTAACCCAGAATCCCCACGGGGAGACAAGCATGGGGTACTGGGGACCTATATTCTAACCCAGAATCCCCACGGGGAGACAAGCATAGGGTACTGGGGACCTATATTCTAACCCAGAATCCCCACGGGAAGACAAGCATAGGGTACTGGGGACCTATATTCTAACCCAGAATCCCCACGGGAAGACAAGCATGGGGTACTGGGGACGTATATTCTAACCCGCAATCCCCACGGGGAGACAAGCATGGGGTACTGGGGACCTATATTCTAACCCGGAATCCCCACGGGAAGACAAGCATAGGGTACTGGGGACCTATATTCTAACCCAGAATCCCCACGGGGAGACAAGCATAGGGTACTGGGGACCTATATTCTAACCTAGAATCCCCACGGGGAGACAAGCATGGGGTACTGGGGACCTATATTCTAACCCAGAATCCCCACGGGGAGACAAGCATAGGGTACTGGGGACCTATATTCTAACCCGGAATCCCCACGGGGAGACAAGCATAGGGTACTGGGGACCTATATTCTAACCCAGAATCCCCACGGGGAGACAAGCATAGGGTACTGGGGACGTATATTCTAACCCAGAATCCCCACGGGGAGACAAGCATAGGGTACTGGGGACGTATATTCTAACCCAGAATCCCCACTGGAAGACAAGCATAGGGTACTGGGGACGTATATTCTAACCCGGAATCCCCACGGGGAGACAAGCATAGGGTACTGGGGACGTATATTCTAACCCGGAATCCCCACGGGGAGACAAGCATAGGGTACTGGGGACCTATATTCTAACCCGCAATCCCCACGGGGAGACAAGCATAGGGTACTGGGGACCTATATTCTAACCCAGAATCCCCACGGGGAGACAAGCATAGGGTACTGGGGACGTATATTCTAACCCAGAATCCCCACGGGGAGACAAGCATAGGGTACTGGGGACCTATATTCTAACCCAGAATCCCCACGGGGAGACAAGCATGGGGTACTGGGGACCTATATTCTAACCCAGAATCCCCACTGGAAGACAAGCATAGGGTACTGGGGACGTATATTTTTACCCGGAATCCCCACGGGGAGACAAGCATAGGGTACTGGGGACCTATATTCTAACCCGGAATCCCCACGGGGAGACAAGCATCGGGTACTGGGGACCTATATTCTAACCCAGAATCCCCACGGGGAGACAAGCATAGGGTACTGGGGACCTATATTCTAACCCGCAATCCCCACGGGGAGACAAGCATAGGGTACTGGGGACGTATATTCTAACCCAGAATCCCCACGGGGAGACAAGCATAGGGTACTGGGGACCTATATTCTAACCCAGAATCCCCACGGGGAGACAAGCATGGGGTACTGGGGACCTATATTCTAACCCAGAATCCCCACTGGAAGACAAGCATAGGGTACTGGGGACCTATATTCTAACCCGGAATCCCCACGGGGAGACAAGCATAGGGTACTGGGGACCTATATTCTAACCCGCAATCCCCACGGGGAGACAAGCATAGGGTACTGGGGACGTATATTCTAACCCAGAATCCCCACGGGGAGACAAGCATAGGGTACTGGGGACGT